CGGCGGGGCGGCGGGGGGGAGCCGCCGGCCGACATAACGGCTCCTTCCCGGGGAGGGTCTGACGGTTTGGTCGCCGCCTGGCGGGGGAAGGGCTCTGCAGGGGGCTGCTCGGAGCCAGGCCGGCAAGGCGGCTTCTGGACACCGCACGGGGCCTTTGGCCACAGGTTTGTTCATGAAAGTCGTCTGCTTTCGACTGCCAACGTTTGACGTTTCCCGCCGAACGCCCAGCGCCCCACCCCCGCCAGAGATGGGTCAGGGCTGGCTCCGGCCTGGAAAACGCATTGTCAGCGGGGGAGCAACTAACTGGCCTTCCCGCGGCGCCTGGGCGGGCGACGGACTTTCACACAGGCCAGCCCCTGGGCTGTGCTAACCCCTCCAGGGCTTCTCAGCACCTCCCTCATCAGCCCCCGGGGGCGAGAGGACTGGGCGGTGCTGCAGTGAAGGCAGCGGCACCGGGCCGGCAAGCGGGGTGCACGAGGCGCCAGGCGCTGGAGAATGGGGGCCTAGGACCGTAATGGTGACCCCCAGGCAGCTAAAAGCCGGGGAGCTTTGGAAGCACGTGAACAGAAGTCCCTCTGGGTCAGGCCAAAGGGCCCCGTCTGCCAGCAGCGGCCAACGCCAGGAGCCCCAGAGGGAGGGAACAGAGCGGGGACTCATCACGTGCCCTTTGGCAAACCGAGGCTGGGCCCCAGCCCTGCTCAGCACTGCTGGGTCTGTCCTCCACGAAGCCACGGACACCTGTGCTGCAGCGCCAGGCCCAGGCATTGCTGAGCTCCCTGACGAACGCACACGGCCCTTCCAATTACTCGCACGCCCCGCAATGGGACTAGTCGTGCAAATGTCGTGCTGTCCCTTTGCACGGGGTCAATTCCCTTCCGTGGCACGTGGTGTTTCAGCCGCTGTCGTCCCCAGGCCATAGCCCAGCCTGGAATCTCCATGATTTGCAAGGGGGTGGGAAGCAGGGCAGAGTTAAGGACGTTTGTGGGACCTTAACGCTGAATTCCCTGCCTTAGCAGTGGTGAACTGTTTTAAACTACACTGTCCCAAAAAGGGTCCTTTGGTTCAAATTCCCTCTGATCTCCATGTGTCTGTCTTATCCCCCTCGTCCATGGGCTTTCGACTCGGGCGCCAGGAATGGCTCCAGGCGTTTCACGTTCAACCTCCCTGTCTCTCTGGCTAGACAGATGTCTGGCAGCATCCTCTGTGCTCACGAGGGCTCGGCCTCAGCCCGGGGCCCTGCAGAAGAGTCTTGCTGGAGGTTTCCAGGAAACACAGTGATGCTGAACTCCCGCTACCCCCCAGGCGGCAAAGCCCCGTCACAGAGAGCAGGCGAACGTCACCCAGGCTAGTCGCCGGAGCGGGGGGCGTGTCTTAGGGTTAAGGCTGTGACCGTTTCACTGTCCTGGCTTCACCAGAACTGGCCCCAGCAAACCCGGCTCCCCCTTTTATTACGGCCTCCTGGGCCCTGATTGGTCCTGCCAGCAGCTGCTCATGCGAGGCCTCTCTAGGCAACCCCTGGAGGACTGGACTCGATGCTCCTCCCTTCCAACGTGACACCTTTTCAAGGCAGGTGCCCGAGGGCAGCGAGATAAGAGCCCAGGCCCCGGGTCTGCCCCAGCCCGCTCGCCGGCCGGGCA